ACTGAAAGCGAAACTGCTTGTGTTTTGCTTGTATTTACTGCCAGGTCAACTTCAGCACTTATTGCAGCCTGATTCAGCACAGCTGATTGGTGGGTGAATCAGACTGTCAGAATACCCCCAATCGGCTGTTACAGGCTGCAGGGATTGCCACAGACTATTACTGCCTCTATGCCTTGCGTTTTTGACCTCTGGTGCAGTGGGTGGGACTATATTTGGTGTATAAGACGCACCCAAATTTTTACACTCTTTTTGGGGGGGAAGGTGCATCTTATACTCCGAAAAATACGGTAGGTTGAATTCTGAACACATGTCTAGTGTAGTATTCCTATTTTTGCCACAAATTATGATTAATGTTTTTCATATATTACTTTGAGACATAAGAACCAGTACTAAGTTATTCAATTTTCTTCATTAATATTTCATAAACATCTAAAATGTGACATTTCAATAATGCTGTGATACTGTAGAGCTACATTTTTCAGATGAACTTCTTCTCATTAACCTCTATGCCAGAGAAGGCAGCTAATAATGCATTTAAGACTCTAGACCAGTCAGCTTCTGTTCAAGGAGCAGCTGGTCAGGAGAGCATTCCCACAAATATATCTTGTAGACCAGTTGTGTCACAAGACTATACAGTACAGTCTATGTGGATTACCCTTGAAGAGCATTCAGAAGCTTCAACTAATGTGGAATTCATTAGCACATGCAATATTGGGTGTCATAGCACACCCAACTGACAAGGCTACATGAGCTACACTGATTCCTGGTAGGCTTCCAAGTGCAGTTCAAGGTTCTGGTTGTCACCTCTAAAGCCCTGAACAGCATGAGGCTAGGTTACTTTTAGAACCCAACAGTTTCTACTGATCTCACTGGATAAGAGAGTGAGCATGCTCTGAGTCTCATTTCTCATCAGTGACTCTTGATTGCCCCTATGAAATGTGCTTTCTCTGTCATAATACCTGTCTTATGGAATAGCCTTCTCTGAGATATAGACAGCACTGACCCTGGTAGCCGCCCAGAAGGCCATGAAAACTTCCTTTACTCCCATCCCAGGGCATTGAGTTTAAAATGTTAATGGAATCTTAGCACAGGTATGACCATATTTGTTTTATCAATAGTGAGATTTTTAAAGGCCTCAATCTAGTTTTTTTGTAATGAATTTATGCGTTTTGGATGATGTTTTTATTTGTCTTCACTGCCCAGAATTCCTTTGTTAGATGAGCAGCTATATAAATGTGTTCAATGAATAAATTATGTCTTCTAATTCTTTTGGTTCCAAGGAAATTCTGAAGATCATTGGCTTGATCTTGAAAATCCAGCGTTTCTTTCATACCGTCTTGTCTCAGATCGACAATTTTCAGTATAAAGTAAAAATGATTGTATTTGGTGTTTATAATATTCATGCTGGTGGTGGTGGTTGTTACAGTATGAATTCACCTTGTATCTGTCCTTAATTAATTAATCATAGATGCCATTAAATCAGGTTCAACTCCCTAATGCTTGCATGGACAAACACTCAATTTTGACATATCTCTAGCTGGAAACTGCATTCACTCCTAGATGGAAGTTGGATGGATAGAATCTATATCAGGGGTGTCAAACTCAAGGCCCAGGGGGCTGGATCCAGCCCTTGGAATGCTTAGATCTGGCTCACGGGGCCACCCTGGAAACGGCAATAGACTGGCCCATGATGCCTCTGCCAGGGAAAACGGAGCTCAGGAGGGCCACAGGTGGCCCGCCCGAGCTCCGTTTTCACTGGAAGAGGCTGGCAGGAGGCTGTCACAGCAGAAAACGGAGCTCGGGAGCCCATTTTTGCTGGCAGAATGCTTGGGCCACCACCACTGCTCCTGACATGAGTGATGTTGAGCTGGTCATGCCCACCCTACCCCCCTGAAATCAAACATAACCCTGATGCGGCCCTCAATGAAATCGAGTTTGGTACCCCTGATCTGTATGATGATACCTGGGATAACTTTGACCTTTTGCATATCCAAGAACAAAGTTCTCAATTATCTTAAGAGTGGGCAGAGTTCTCTGTAATCCAAGTTCTGCTACATGTGGATTGGATCCTTACTACCTTGCTAATGAATATCGCTGGATAACTGCCATCCTGTCCTCAAAATCTCCTTTTTTGGGAAGGATGTTGAAAAAGTGCCAGGACCAAAATTTGTATCCATGGTAGTTTGAACTGAGGCTTCTATATTGTGTGGAAATCACATTGGTCCCCCACATGGGACTCTCATAGGACTTGAATAGAATGAATGTAATCATCCTGGTCCTCCTAAATTTCTCAGTGTTTGTTAATCATGGCATCATATGCAGATTGCCTGGGAGTTGTGAGAGTTGAAGGTGCCAGAATACAGTGGTTAGACTCCAGCCTTAGTGTGCATATCCAATAAGTGGTGGCTGAGACAAAAGTTGAACCCTCAAATATTACCTTATATGAGTACTATGAGACCTCAGGCCTTTCCTTTTTCCTGTTTAGTATTTTCATGAAAGTGTTGGAAGATGCCATATACCCATTAAAATTGAAATTAGCATGTTGATAACCTCTAGTTGTATAGCTTTACTCATCACTGCTTTTAAAACCTTATCTGGCCAGAGAGCACCTATCAAGGATCTCCATCTGCATGATGAGAGGAACATGATGCCTGGTGGAAAGCATTCTTTGTGAGGGTTCCACCCTATGGAACAGCCCATTTCTTGGATGAGCCTATGCTCATGGCCTCTATAGTTAGTAAAGAAATGGTTCTTTCAGAATACCTTTAGCATTGTGAGGGCATTGATAATAAAATTAGTTTTCATGCATAAACATATGTGCAGCATATGTGTATGTACAGTATATATGATGGAGAGACAGATAGACAGACAGACAGACAGAAATAGCTATCTAGACAGTAGATAAATTGCAAAAGTAAAATAACACATAGCTCTTCCAAGAATTTTCTCAAATTTCTTAAAATCCAGTCATTCACTTTATCTATAGCCTTTCTTTTTTTACACATTTGTCAACCATGCAAAGCCTCCCCCCCCACCCAGCCCATCCATTTGAATCAGATGCTCAAACTATGGTGATTAAGGAAATGGGAAGTCTGTCTAGTCCCAGGTTGACTTTTTTTTCCACTCCATGGTAAACTTCTTTAAAAATATATAAATGAAAGGATCCACAGTATTTTTTTCAATCTCCCACTTTCACAGAGATACCTATCTATATCAGTTATAGTAATTTCACTGTTTAGCTCAGAGCTGAATGACAGACCTTGATAAAGCCGTTCCTTGATTAAAAAAAACAAATAACAAATAAGAAAATATGTATGTTATTTTTCTAACCCACTATTGTGGAGTTATTATTGTTAGAAATAGCCTCACTAGTGCTGGATTCATTTAAAGTGAATAGATTCTATTAGCTTGTTAGTCAGGATTTTTTTGAGTGTCTCACCAACTATAGAGAAAAGAATTAAGGAATGATTTAAGAAAAAAGCAGGAATTAAATGCATTTTCAGAAATATTTTTGATTTGTTTGATGGATTGATTAATTTAGATCCCTTTCCTTCATCATGCCTCGCCAATTCAATTCAAAATATTGCCTCTCTTTTCTATGAGTAAGCCTTTAAGGATTATTTAATTTCAACATGTTTGCTTGACTGAGAAATAATATACACATTTTTATGCTATCATGTGGCAATAGAAAGATACATTGAGTTATTAGTAGCCAATATTGTGTATTTCTATTGGCAAGAAATCCCAAATAAATTTGTGTTTGTGATTCCATCTTAAGTAGATAACAAATATTTCACCTCACTGATAAATGATCCCCTTTCTTTGGGGATCAGCTGTCAAAGGTGTTTCAGTACTCCTCATCTTATCAAGAACTGTCATGTCTTTCAAAAGAAGCCTGTCTATAGGAATTCTTGGGAGCTGACTGGAGGCATATGGAAAGTATGCCTCCTTTGTTAAATATGTGCACAAGCTGACCTATTTTGTAAACTATTAAGAATGCAAATCTCTGATCCAAAGTTGCTTACTCTTGAATGTTCTTGCCTAAGAATCACTTGGCATTTCTAAGCACACTTTACTAATACCACTTTTTTCATAGTCCAAATTATTAATCAACTAAAGTGACATTTTACATTTCAAAAATAAAGGAAATTTAACTCAATATACCTTTTATTCATTTATTTTGTGGAATACCCGAGAAATTGAAAACGATGGAAAAGTGACAAAAATCATTGAAAACCGTCAAAATTTTACTAAAAACATTTTCCCCAAAGAAGTTCATGCCATTTTCTTTTCTACAGAAATGTGAAATATGAATTGAAATAATAAAACCTAGTTTTTGAACAACTTATCATTACTGTTACTGGTATATTTGTACTCTATAATATGTAACAGAAGGTCTACCTAAACCAGACTCTTTGATCCATAACGGATTTGTCACACAAAAGTGAGATATACATAATTTGCTCTAAAGTGTTTAAAGTTAGTCAATTTCCTTTCAAAATTGAAAACAAAAGACTATTATTTTTCCAAATGTAATTAAGTTTTTTTTTTATTAAAATGAAAACTGGATGTTATAAAAAGGATAGAGGTTTATTAGTTATCTTATTTTGAGAGGTAAGCCTGAAGAGAGGTACCCATAGTATTTTCTGTCTTATGCATCAAAATAACTTGACTAATTTGGGGTATTTTATGCCTTGAGAGCAAGACATCATTTGTTGCTCTGTATTAGTCAGTGAAATCATTTTGGTCAATGCATAATATTCTGTTCTGCATATATCTGGGATAAGTTCCCTCTTCTGTTTTAGGAAGGTAAAATACATTGAGTAGGCAGAGTTATTTGCTAAACAAAAGCCATTTATATGAATACAGATTACCACTGTATGCATTACTCTTTTTTCTCCTCTCCCTACTTTGCTGCTACAGCCCCACCCCAGTGGCTGTAATGTTCTGAGACACTAAGCACAGAAATGTTTTGATTCTCTATCTTGTCTTTGAAACAGGTTTTCACAGAGCTGAAGTCAGACAATCAGCGGCTGAAAGATGAGAATGGAGCACTCATCCGAGTCATCAGTAAACTCTCAAAGTAGCCTATTGGACAAAGGATGGGCAGAAAGAGGAGATTTCTGTGCACAAGCTGCCAACCCTGCCACCGACTTCCGATCTTCCAGTTGAAAGAACTATTGGCAATTTAGCCATGGACCAGTTGGCAACACACACAGCTCCTTGCACTTGCTGGGCATTTTTATTTTGCACAGTGCTTACCCCGCCCTTTTCTTCTAAAAGCATGCCTCACCACAAGTTTATTATTTTTACAATATTGAAGTAATTTATTCAAAAGGACAAAGAGTGATTGTCACTGTCTGAACTACTCAAACCATCTGCTGTAAACCCAATATGCATCCAAACTTAATCTGATTTAAAGAAGTATCTACTGTAATAAGTGATATAGAAGTGACTATGATGTCGATCAAACATGTCTTAAGATACTGTCATGGAATAGGAATGGGGAATGAAATGGAATTACTCTTCCTTCTGGAATTTGGGAGTATGAGTCTGTGAAAAACTTGTTGGCTTATTTCTTTGGGAGTCTCATAATGTGTCTTGCCCTGGAAATGCATATTCTACATATCTCTCAGTACTTGACTGATTTATTTAATGTTAGATTTGAAATCAGTTTCATATTGGGGCCCAATAATTGTTTTTTCCTTTCCATCTTTCCTCAAGATGTTTCCTCCTGGTGTTTTCTCTAGAACTGTTTAATAGATGATTACACCTTATAGCTCTCACATTTTTAGCATTCTTTTTCCCCCAATAATTCTGATGGAAGGACATCCAACATCAAAAATTGCTTAGGGTAGATTTCCACTTGCAGGGTGTATCTCTGCACAGGATATCAACATATCTTTTTATAAGCAAAATGATTCATTTACCACTGAAGTAATAACATTGCACAAAATCAGAGCAAATAAGTTGGATTTAAGACAATGTTCATTAGGTGCAAAGCTGAAAACACAAAAGCATTCTCAGAGTTTAACATGGAAGAAGGCTGGTGGTTTGAGCTGCTTAGTCCTGTGAAAAATGCTGTCTCAAGTCTTGGTGGAAAACCTTGATAAAAATTATACTACTAATGTTTGAGACGTTTAATGCAATGTTTAATTTGCACAGTTGTTAGCAAAAATGCACTTGTCTTTAATATCAATAGTAAGATCAGTAGCATTCATGCCCTGGTTTTTGGTCATGCTGGAAATAAAATGCATTAACTTCCATAGATTCTCAGAATACTAACGTCTTCAGAGCCTGTGCTTCTCTGGTTATAACAATGAGATTTCACTTGCAGCACTTAATATATTTTTCCAAATCCTGATCACTGCTTTTCTTTTCTCTTTTCCTTTGTATTCCAAAGCATGATATCACATTTTGAAGCTATACTTTTTGGTCTGGTTATAGTCAGCTTTCACAATTGATTAGAACAGAGTCTTTGGGATTTAAGAAAAGCAGCTTATACATAGATACAAGTGAGCAGTAGTACTTCAGATCTTTTTGCCATCATTGCTCAATGGTGAACACAATATGGCTTTTTAAAAATCTATTGCGGACTACTATAAAAAAGAAGTGACTGATCTTTTCTCTTTCATCTTTTTGTTCTGAATTCTCGTGTATTTTTCTTGCTTTTATTGGCTGCAAAGAAATGCAGAATTCTGTTAAGAGCCAGGAGTTGCCATCTGTGAGCTGACTTATTCAGATATTGGTTGTCTGGTGTAGTAATCAGTGCATTCACAATACTTAGAGCTTTCTAGTTTAGCTCTGAGACTCTCAGCAACCCTTTAGTTTCCTCTGTCCCCCTTTTTGGGAACTTTGGATATTGTCCAGATTTCAAGGTGTAGCTAACAATTATATGTGAAAGTTAAGTACATGTTGACATTGTGATGAATTTTATTCATGATATTGCTTTTGCACTGCCTAACCTATTTCAGCCCCATAGAGGATTACAGAGAGGTATGAACAAAAGATTTTTAGTTGGTCCTGTCGAACTCTACCATAAACATAGAATAGAGCCAAGGTGGCGCAGTGGTTAAAATGCAGCACTGCAGGCTACTGCTAGATCAGCAGGTCAGCGGTTCAAATCTCACCGGCTCAGGGTTGACTCAGCCTTCCATCCTTCCGAGGTAGGTAAAATGAGGACCCAGATTGTTGGGGGCAATATGCTGACTCTCTGTAAACCGCTTAGAGAGGCCTGAAAGGCCTATGAAGCGGTATATAAGTCTACTGCTATTGCTATAAACAGTCATGGAAATGAAAAAAGAATCATTCCGTAAGAGGTCCTGCAGAGTACTACTGTTATTTTATGTCTGGAATATAGTAACTTAAATCAACCCAAATTTTAATATCCAGAAATCTAAGGACAAATATAAAAAAGGCCTACTATGAAGAATTGTGCCCTATCTAGTAACGAGTTAGAATTATATCAAATTGAATTTTGCCTAGAATTATCTGAGCTGATTAATCATGAAACAATCCAATATGCTCATCATAAAATGATTGGGGAGGGAATGGGGTGAAAAGAGATTATATTATTCCTTAGGATGTCATTAAGATGAATGGCAACAATCAACAACATTTTAGGCCTAAATATATTTTTCTTCTATTTCAAGGATTTCAAATCACCTTCAAACGGTTAAATGGACCATTTTTATCCTGAGGTAAAGAAAATTTAGTCCATTTTTAAAAGCTGAAATATGAATGAGATTTGTTCCTTCTCTCAAAAAATAATGAAAAGGAAAATGTTGAATAGAAGTTACTTATTTCATCTCAAGAATTAGTATATGTTTTAAAATTTTCATTTGAAACGGGAAGTATTTTCAAGAAACTTTCTGATTTAATGAAGGGCTGAATGTGTGGACAGGCAAAAGGCATATTCATGTTTAAATCAAATTATTTTAAGTTTTTTATATGATCAAGTAAACTTGCCTCAAGAATTCAGGACACCTCTTTGTTTTTAAAGGATATCAAGAGCGAAAATATTACTCCCCTCACTGGTTGTTGCTCTGACCCAATTAAGTTTAGATTTAGATGAATGTTCTATTTTAATTGTTCAGGAAGCTAAAATGTTCTCTGCATAAGCTGCAAATGATAGAGGAGAATGGTTGAAAGTTTAGCCTGTGACATGAAGGCTTTCAAGCTTGTGGATGATAGAAGTTTTTATTTAAAATGGGAAATGAATGGTTCTGTTTTGGTTCTTCTTCCTGAAAGCTTTCACCAATGAATTTTTCCATATCTAAGATTTTAAAAATCTTTGTGCAAGTGCTTTAAGAAGCATAAGAAGAAGCACAATTTTATTCCTTGCAAATGGGGAAGTTCCATGGGATATGTTTGGTAAGAATTAAATTTCATATGAAACTAAAGGTACTACATGTTAAAAGAACTAAATATAGGAAAACAAACATGAATAGGGAAGAAATTAGTGATAAGCCATTTAGTGATAAATTGGTTTACTTTACGAGAAGGCTGTCTTCCTAGTAATATGGATAAACTGCTCATAGAAAATAAAAGGATGAAGGAAAAACGGGGTACGTAGATGCAAGAGCAAGTATATATGAATACATTTGAATTTAGAAAAGTTTTAGTATTTATTTATTTCTGTCCATATTGTTTTACTGTTAATGGAAACAATTCATGGATGAAATCTGGATGGTCAGGGAGCATTAGATGAATCTAACTTGATCATTTTCCATGCATATGCACTTGATTTTTACTATTGGAAGCTAGTGCAGAGTCATTGATATATATCACTTTCTTTTTTTCTCTTAAGGGATGTTTATATTAATAATTACCATTTAAAACACTTATTCCCATGGAATAATTCAAAGTATAAGGCTAACCATGTTGCTGTTTGCTGATAAAGCATTAAATATAAATTAAACACAAACCCTGGACTATCACTGATATATAAAGATTAATGTTTATTATTTCTTAGGACAAAAATGAGATATCTGTGGCCCTTCAAGTGTTCCTGAAATCTCAGCATCCCTCACCATACATGATGGTTGAGACTTCTGTAATTCAGTAACTTCAGGAGCCTTCACTTCCCCACCCCATCCTGCTTTAGACTAAAGTTAACATTTGTCCCTAACCAAATGATATAAATGTAAAGAAAAATGTAAAGTATATATCCTTTCTGGGACATGTAATAAATTCCCCACCCATAAAAATATTTTGTTATTGTGAAAAGCAAAATGTAGTCCTTTGTCCCCATTTAAATCTGATCCATTGGATCATCAAGTTCTCTTTTCAAATTACTAGGATGTAAAAAAGTAACCAAAACCTCTCCCAAATTGTGAAGAGTTTGAGGAAGAGTGCCGCAGTGTACAGTACAGGAAGACTTCCACGGTGTATATGCAGATGTCTTTCAATATATCCCTTTCAATTCTATCAATTCAATTCAATTCTATCAGAACCTAAAAATGAACTTGTTTTGACAGGATTTTTCGCAAGCAAATTGAATGTCCAGTCACAAAGAATGTACTTCATCCTTGTCCACTCTAATATATGCATTTTTATGAAGTCCCTCAGCTTTGGTACAACAGGCTTCATTTTCCCTATCTTTGACCTTCTAGCTCCATTCAGCCTGCTGCCATATTAGCTGACCTGGGAGAGAAGCTTCTGGCTTAGGGATATTAAGTCTGTATCTCAAAGGCAACTATATCTTTGTTTCAAGCTTTCAGTTTCCCAGGGCTTTTTCTTTGAATGGTGTGTTTCGATCACATTTATTCTGTGTTTGAAATATTTTTGTGTGATTCTACTAGAGGCAGCATGTTCCAAGAAGAGTTTGTTTTTGTTTTGTTTTTTTACCAAGATTACTTCTTAGCAATTTACTGATAAATTCATCCATTCCCCAAGATTCCTTTATTTCTTGGGGCAAGTTAAACTCTGGGTGAATATAACTTTGTAGGTTCTTGAGCTAACAGAACGGTTAAAATCAGCTGCATATCTTTCCACTCCTGACTTTTTAGTATATAATATTGAGGAAAGTCAAAATGCGTTACTGTAAAAGCTATTCCTGAAAAAAGAACAGCATCCTACTGTTGGCTCATTAAATTCCCACATGCAAATATTCTAAGTGTTATCTGTTTTTAAAAGATGTTTTACAACTCTTTGTAAATAATTAATTGGAGAAAAGAGTGGCTTGTGTGTGAAGGAAGAGAATGTATTTTTATGCAACTTTTTTTGAGTGGCCTTCCAAATTTTGAGATGAATGCTTTTGTTTTCCTGATTGTTACATAGTATTCTAAGTATTATATGTTTGAAAGTTTGAGAATAATATTCACATCTATAATGCTTGTAAACACAACAGTATTTATAAATGAATAAAACAAATGCTTTAACATTGTCCTAATGTCTTAACTAATGAAAGCGTGTTTTCCTGCAGTTGACTTATTTCCTTAATTATTTTCTCTTTTGATTCAAGTTTCCTCACCACTTCATATATTAGTACTGCATTTGTTTGATCTTAAGAAATAATACCTAATATCATAGTGCTAAGGATAATCAGATATAAAAATGAAGCAGTGGTATCGAGAATTTGCCTGAAAAATGTGGTGAATCAAGTCAGATGAGGAATTCTGATATGAGGAAGTTCAGCTTGTACAGAAGGATTTCACATTGTGGTGAAGACATATGAATATTCTGCCATGCTATTTAAAATGACTTTTTAAAAAATATTTATTTTATTTTTTGAATAAACACAAACATGACTTTCTGAGATGCAGAAAGGATCTGTATTTCCTCCTGAAGTGACAAATGATAAAAAAACTATCTGTCTACAACTTGGTTCAATATGCAAATAGGGAATTTCAGACTCAGTATAGGGGCACTAATCCGTGGAGTTCTTGGTGCTCTCTGAGCTTGGTTGTTTTCTTGTAGTTGTATCATTACCCAACAGGCAACCTCATCATTGCTGGAAGGGAATGGGGCTTGCTTTCTATTTATATACAAGTGGTTTTCCCTGTCAGTGTTGGTGAGACTATGAATTAGTGTACTTGGGGGAGGCACTAATCTTATCAATTAACTTTTAAATACCAGAACCTTGATAGACATGAACACATGGTCCTGCTTCATTTACTTAGATAGGAGGGAATTTTTTTCCTGGAGAGGCTGAGCCACTCATACAGTAGGATGAAGAGCGTGTTGCATTAAACTAACTTAAAATTCTATAGAGTGTGGCTTGTTAGGACAGGAAGGAACTATTTTCTGCAGGATAGGAAGCAAGGTAAACCAGATGACTTTGGTTTATTTATGTGCCATTGTGTCCCAACTGATCAGAGATCGAAGCACTGTTCTATGAACTGCCATCACATACGGCAAAGCTCCTGTATTACCAAAGCTCCTGTATGTCAGATGCATCAAAAGGTTATATGTATGTATGTATGTATGTATGTATGTATGTATGTATGTATGTATCATTTGTGCTGATAAATAAAGGGAGACGAGTATAGATCTATTTCAGGCTATTTAGCTCTCATCAGCTAGCCATACCCTTACTGAGAATCATATATATATATTTTATATATATATAAAACATGGGTATGGCTAGCTGATGAGAGCTAAATAGCCT